CCCCGGGGTGGCGTCCCCGCCCCTTAGCCGGGAGCAGGAGCAGGGCAGGAAACCTTCCCTCCCTCTCCTGCCCGGAGCGGAGCCACGTGGAGTAGCCTGCAGGTTTGTGCTGGTAAAGGGCCTCCCGCCAGAGCCTGCCTCTAGCACCCCGGCCCCTCCCTTCCCCAACCCTCTGCCCCCTCCCGCACCCATACCCCCTCCCCGATCTGGCACCCCAATCTCCTGCCCCAGATCACAATCCCCTCCTACCTCAGTCCCATCCCAAAACCCCAGTCCCCTGCCCTAGGCCACAACCGCCTCCTTCACCCAAACTCCCTCCCAGACCCCACACTCCCTCCTGCACCCCAAGCTCCCTCCTGCACCCCATCCCAGACCCTGGAGTTCTAAAATCCTGGAGTGGCCCGCCCATCCAAAATGACTGCCCACCCCCGCTCTAGTGAAAGCAGACCCATGAGCAGCAGGACAAACGAACCCTGGAGAAAGTTTTACTCCGAACAGACCAACTATTGTTTTCTTTTTCAAACGGAAGTTTATTATTTTCTTTTATAGTTTTTTTTTTGTACTTAAAAAACCCACACGAACACTCACATATATAGGCACAGAAATCTTTCTGTTGCTTTCAGAACTGAACCACCGGTCCTGGTCCTGGTACCATGTGTCTGAAAAAACCCAAACCTGCTAGACAACATCTAAGGAGCGAGCACTCCGACTGGGCTTTTCCAAGGGAGCCTCCGACGCTCCTTGGGCCAGCCCAGCGTCAAGGCAAAATTCTGCCTTCGGACACGTGTGCGTAACCCCGCTGCGTTACGCAGGGTGCAGCCGGCGAGGCGGAAGGCAGAATTCGCCCTGACGGGACAGATTCTGCTCTCAGTCGGCAGGGGTGCGAACTTGGAGTTAACTCCACCGAAGCCAACGGAGGCGAGCTGGAGTCTCCCACTGCGGGAAGGTGGAGTTAACTCCGGATTTGCCACTGCGAGCAGGATCAAGCCCCGGCCGTTTGCACGTCCCTCCTAAAAGATGACGGAGAATAAAACCGAATTGCAGCGGCGGCAGCAGAAAGAGAGAAGACCCGGTATGGCTTGCGACGAGCGATTGCTCCTGGACCTCAGGAAGGCAACAGCGTCTGGAAACTCTCCTGAGACTCAACACAAACGAAACAGACAAAGCGGGTGGGACGCTCCAGTGTATTTAGCAGCCCTGGCACTGGGGAGCGGGGAAAGGATCAGCTGTTTGGTTTTTAAGTGGCAGCTGCAGAACCTGGGGGCAAGGCCAGAGGTGGCGATGGGATCATTGAAGAGAAGAAAAAATAACCAAGGTCTTAGGCGAAGGAAGAATATTCTGATCTGACAGACGGCCAGTAGGTGCCACTTTGCACAGGAGGCTGGACATGCATCGCTGGCCAGCATGTACAGCCAGACACACACACAACCACACACATACACACGTGTCTGCAGAACCTGGGGGCAAGGCCAGAGGTGGCGATGGGATCATTGAAGAGAAGAAAAAATAACCAAGGTCTTAGGCGAAGGAAGAATATTCTGATCTGACAGACGGCCAGTAGGTGCCACTTTGCACAGGAGGCTGGACATGCATCGCTGGCCAGCATGTACAGCCAGACACACACACAACCACACACATACACACGTGT